CGGAACAGGCAGTCCAGGGGGCCATGGCTGGACGGCCTCTGTGGCCTTGGCCTTGGCACTTGGTCTGGCCGCTACAGCCAGAGACGTATAGCCCCCCCCCCCCAAAAAAAATTATTGGAGGAGACTCCAGGTCCCCTGGCTGTGACCGGCTCTGGGCTGGGCTCAGAAGTCCACTCTGGGCTGCTTTCTGGAAAAGAAGCCCTCTCCTGGCTGGACTTGGGGACACAAGCCCTCTCTTGGGACTGGACATGGGAACCACAGCCTTCTCAGGGCTTGATGTCAGGGCAGGAGCCCTCTCTGGGCTGGACATGGAAACAGGAGCTCTCCCTGGGCTGGACATGGAAACAGGAGCCTACTCTGGGCTAGACCTGGGATCTGAGGCCCTCCCTGGGCCGGACGCGGGAATCGCAGCCCTCTCTGGGCTGGACGTGGGAACAGGATCCCTTTCTGGGCTGGATTCGGGAACAGAAGCCCTCTCTGGGCTGGACTCGGGAACGGAAGCCCGCTCTGGGCTTGACGTGGGAACAGGAGCCATCACTCGACTCTGGTCAGGGGCTAGAGCCATCTTACGACTCTGGTCAGGGGCTAGAGCCTTCTCTCGACTCTGGTCAGGGGCTAGAGCCCACAGTCTTTTCCTCCTCATTCTCCTCTTTTGGGCTGAGGTGAAGGAGATAGTTGCTGTCATCATAGGACTTGAGAATGAATCGGCCAGCGGCCTTGAGAGTGGAGCGGCCGCTGGTTCTGGGCTGAAGACCGAAATGGTTCTGGGAGCTGGAAACAGAGGAAGTGGAGGCAGATTTCAGCACTGTTGGAAACCCACTTATGGGTTCGGGGAAACACAGAAGGATATAGGTGGTTGGAGCCATTGGCCAGGCATGTGGAGGGATTGATGGCAGATTCGGGGATTTCTTTCAATGGAACAGGCTCAGGAACACTACTCACTGGAACGGACTTGGAGTGCTTCCTCTACAGAATACGTTAATCCACACAACCACAGAATATCGATATATTTTTGCAACGAACATGTGGTTGCACCCGCTGGAACTTGTTGATACAGGTGATCATCCAAGCAGCACCAGAAAACGTGTCTTTAGTGTGACATTATTCCAGGGCACTTGATGTGAGAGCTCGAGGAACTACTCTAAAGCAGTCCTCAATCGGACGGCCATCTTGGAAGAGAGTGAGAAGAAGGTCTGCTGGGTTGTGAGGAGTGAGGGTGGTTGGAGCCATTGGCCAGGCATGTGGAGGGATTGATGGCAGATTCGGGAATTTCTTTCAATGGAACAGGCTCAGGAACACTACTCACTGGAACGGACTTGGAGTGCTTCCTCTACAGAATACGTTAATCCACACAACCACAGAATATCGATATATTTTTACAACGAACATGTGGTTGCACCCGCTGGAACTTGTTGATACAGGTGATCATCCAAGCAGCACCAGAAAACGTGTCTTTAGTGTGACATTATTCCAGGGCACTTGATGTGAGAGCTCGAGGAACTACTCTAAAGCAGTCCTCAATCGGACGGCCATCTTGGAAGAGAGTGAGAAGAAGGTCTGCTGGGTTGTGAGGAGTGAGGTGAATGCCCATGTTGTAAGGCAAATTTTGTGGGTCTGGTCTTCTGTCAGCAAACAGGCCAGAAACATAGAGGTAAGTTCTCACAACAACAGGTTTATTGACAAATGGGCAGTGGGATGAAAGGCAACAGTCTGAGGGTGAGTAATTCCAGGAATTCTCTTAGCTGAGGGTAATAGAAGACTGTCTCTTGCAGGTGATCCGATAGAGCGGTGGTGAACGGGAGCAGTGGAGCGAAGTAGCATCTAGGGGTAAGTAAACGCAGGTATGTAGTCAGGCTTAGTAATGCTATGCAAACTTTAAACCAGACAATGAGGCTGTGGGGAGAGTGCAGTGATATAGGGAGCCTAACGAGCTGAGACAGGTGCGGGCAATCAGAATTCGGGTGATTGGGATCTGGTGTGCACTGGGGCTGATGACTGTGGTGACGTGGTGACTGAGGCTGCGTTTACACTTGGAAATTTTGTGGGTCTGGTCTTCTCTCAGCAAACAGGCCAGAAACACAGAGGTAAGTTCTCACAACAACAGGTTTATTGACAAATGGGCAGTGGGATGAAAGGCAACAGTCTGAGGGTGAGTAATTCGAGGAATTCTCTTAGCTGAGGGTAATAGAAGACTGTCTCTTGCAGGTGATCCGATAGAGCGGTGGTGAACGGGAGCAGTGGAGCGAAGTAGCATCTAGGGGTAAGTAAACGCAGGTATGTAGTCAGGCTTAGTAATGCTATGCAAACTTTAAACCAGACAATGAGGCTGTGGGGAGAGTGCAGTGATATAGGGAGCCTAACGAGCTGAGACAGGTGCGGGCAATCAGAATTCGGGTGATTGGGATCTGGTGTGCACTGGGGCTGATGACTGTGGTGACGTGGTGACTGAGGCTGCGTTTACACTTGGCATTAACATGTGATCACCGTGATCTGATCAAGCAGATCGGATCATCAGTCAATCAGGACACAGCGCGTTTACACTTGGCAACATCAGCTGACTTCTCGATCTGGATAACAGATCAGATCTGTATTTCCCGCTCAATATTTAAATAAGTCTGCGGTGCAAAGTCGACCTGAAGTGGTAGGTTTTCTTTTGAAAACTATTTTCAGTCGCGGGACATTTTACAAATCAAAATAAATGTACGAGTCTCACTAGCGCACTGTTCTTCTGACAGTTTGGGAGAGAGGGGGCGGCGTTTTGCGTGAGGTCGACCTGCGAATGCAGACACGATGGCTGGATTGCGTTTACATTACACTGAGATCCGATCACTATGCGTCCTTGACTACATCTGGACCAGGACACGCTGATCGGATAACATTCCTATCAGAAGCGAGTTTACACTTGTCTTTTCAATGTGTTTGTGGACAACATCCGGATACAGGTCACATGTTAATGCCAAGTGTAAACGCAGCCTGAGACTCCCTGACTATTATATTATATTATATTATGTTATATTTAATACAGAATATGTGTATTGCATATTTATTTTTATACATCAAACTAATTTCAGCTGAACTTGAGAGCCAGTGAATGCCATTTTTATTGAATGAAAAAGAGCCAAATTGACATTTTCATAACAATTCATCCTTTAGAATTTCACAGGGAATTACCAAGTTTACACATTTCTGGCCACTGAGCTTTAGCCAAACATTTTTAACTATGATAATCAAGCAACTTCATTATCAGAGCAATAAATATATGTGCATGACCTTTCAAGATGCTTGCAATAAGAAAGATGTCACAAGAGATAAGTTCATTGTGCTGCATCTCCTTATCAGCACAGAGAGAACCCTGGATGAGAACACCCTTGTATTAATGTAGTGGTTTGGAATGTCTCTAAAGTGATATTCTTCCACCTACACACATTCACACCTTCATCAGAACAGCAATATCTCCCCTCATGGCCATGCTGCTTAGCCATGCCTGAGCAAATGTATCAGTGTGAGTGGGTGTTTTTCTGGATTACCCTGAAGGATGAAGATAAAGAGAGAGAGTAGAACCGAGAGAACACCCAGGAAGAGGTCCAAGGCTTCTTTGTACGTTTTTGAGCATTGGTACGCAAGTGATCAAAAATAGCTCACTAAGTAAGGAGTATCTGACTCATTTTGTGTGCAGTAAAATCTCACACCTCCGTGCTGGATCAGATGGCCAACCTGATGCTGCATGCATATCCATACCATCTTACAAAACAGAGTTTACAGTGAAGATGTTACGTTTTTTCTGCTTACTCCATGTTATCTATCCATGTTTGTGTTCTTGCCTTGGTGTTGAGGCAGTGCTGTCTGTTGTGAGTGTTGGTGATAACAGTGGAGCGATTCGTCATGGTGTGGACAGTGGGCTCTGGGGACTGAAGAGCATGAAGGCAGCACACAGGGGAGTAATAAAGCTACACCTCTACAAACATGGCTGTCCATAAATGTAATATTGGTCCAAAGTGATGTTGTTTGGAAATAGCTTATACTATATTCATGCTACTGTACATAATCAATACATGAAATGAATGTATGTAATCTATATATTTATTTATTTCCATCTAACAACAAATGGGCCAAATACAATTTTAAGTATATATAATATTTGCTTAAGCTATGTATTGCATTGTTAGCTTAGCAACATGCTAACAGCATACTATTGCCATCAATTATGAGTCATGTCTCCTGTGTGGTTTGTGTGAGGAGCCCTATTTATATGACGCAGTTACTGCCTATATAGAGCACTCCAAATCTGTCACTTATGAGGTTTCATTTCAGTTAGGATGCTGCCTTAGAAGAAGACAGCTAGGCAGCTCGTTAGGTTTGGGAACACAGTTTATATGTACCGTATCAATAAAAAATTAGACTGATAGCAGATTTGTGAAGTGCATATTTTTCTCTCCAGCAAATTTAATGTCATCACAATGCTGTATTCACAAAATCCGCTGACCCTAAGAGCTTGTAAGAAATGGCAGCTATTCAGGTGATCTCGGGGACTGTTGCTAGGTGGTGATGTCATTCTTAGCAGCACAGCGTGTACTTGAATCAGGTCATGCAGCTCCGCTCTTTCAAGTATCTCAAGCCTTTGTCTTCCTGAATAATTTATAATGTCTCAATGACTGTGGTCAGTCCACATTGTAACCAAAAGACCAAGTGTGTCCAGAGAAGATAAAGGACACATGGGTGAGAAAAAGAAAACCTCCCTGGCCTTTGGTTTTTGTTTGGTGTGGTTTGGTGGTTTGTACAGACACAAAGTGGTGTGGATGTCAATACTAATGAGAAGAAGCATAGTTGCGAAAGAAAATAATTATCCTGAGTGTGGTGAAGTGGAGCTTGTGCACGACAACAAAACCATTGAAGAAATGAAAAATTATGTTCAAGATGAAAGAGTGCATGTCCCAAAGCTGATTAGCGCACATGTTTGATTCACATAAACAACCTTTCTCTTTCTCTCTCGCATCTCATAGGTTGAGGATCAGGGGTTATGGAGTCTCTCTTCGGGGGCCAGTTGGGCTTGCTGGGGGGTAACGAGGGTCTTAAAGAAGATGGCTGTGGGGTGGGCTGGTCGAACTCTCCCTTATCAGAAGACATGTACTCTGCCTCCCACTTCGCCCTCATCAGCGCCTACCAGGACATTAAGACCCGTCTGGCCGGCCTCGAGCGAGAAAATGCAGACATCAAAAGAAAACTCAAGATTTACGAGATAAAGGTACAAAATACCCTAAGGATCCTTTAGTCTCAGATACTGCAACAGATATCAGCGGTCAGTGGCGTGACTACTGGCAGTGTGGGTAGATTTCAGTTCACTGAAAAAAATTAATTGGTGTAGGATTTATTCTTTCACTCAGAAATGGCAGCAAATTAAAAAAAGAAAAATGTAAAAAGAAATGGCAAATAGCACATTTAATTAAATGTGTTTTTAAGTAGAAAAATTGAAATACTGTAATATTCCAATAATCCAATAATTCAACAATTTACAAAAAAAATCTGTTTTTTTACGTGTACTGTTGTACAATATATCTGTCACATTTTGCTGTTTAGGAAGCACGCAAGAGGCACAAATAAACGAAAACAGTCTTTAATCCACGGAACACAGGTTACATCCACACTGGAAATGGCAGGAAACACACAAACATAACGAGTAGAACCGACCAACACAGAACGCAAAGGCAAAGACTTAAATACTGGGGATAATTAACAAACACAGTTGCCAGGAATCATAATTAAACTAAACGAGGACAGGAAAAAGACCATATAAGGAAAACCAGGAACAAAGACAGGGGCAAAACACAACAAAACAGGTCCATGGTCCTGACAATATCTTTATAGACCCTTTATACTGTACAATATGTCTTTATATGTTTAATGATTAAAACACTAAAAGTGTCTAACATTACTCTTCTTCACTGTCTCTTCTATAGCTAATTTCTAAAAGAAATGGCAAATAGCACATTTAATTAAATGTGTTTTTAAGTAGAAAAATTGAAATACTGTAATATTCCAATAATCCAATAATTCAACAACTTACAAAAAAAAATCAGTTTTTTTACGTGTACTGTTGTACAATATATCTGTCACAGTTTGCTGTTTAGGAAGCACGCAAGAGGCACAAATAAACTAAAACAGTCTTTAATCCACAGAACACAGGTTACATCCACACTGGAAATGGCAGGAAACACGCAAACATAACGAGTAGAACCGACCAACACAGAACGCAAAGGCAAAGACTTAAATACTGGGGATAATTAACAAACACAGTTGCCAGGAATCATAATTAAACTAAACGAGGACAGGAAAAAGACCATATAAGGAAAACCAGGAACAAAGACAGGGGCAAAACACAACAAAACAGGTCCATGGTCCTGACAATATCTTTATAGACCCTTTATACTGTACAATATGTCTTTATATGTTTAATGATTAAAACACTAAAAGTGTCTAACATTACTCTTCTTCACTGTCTCTTCTATAGCTAATTTCTCTCATACTTTATGAATATATCATCCATGGAGGCCACATATTCTAAAATCATTAAATTATACATTGGGGTCCAAATTTCAAATTCACAGTGTAAAGCATTTTTTCTATGGCATAACCTCTCCCAAGATAACACAGGAAAAAGGTTCAGTGTCGCTCTAGCTGTCTTAATGAGAACCAATAAATAATGATCAAGATAATGTTCACCTCATGCATATACGTCTCCAACCACCATCTTTTATGAACGTGTTTAAATTTTGCCATTTCTCTCATACTTTATGAATATATCATCCATGGAGGCCACATATTCTAAAATCATTAAATTATACATTGGGGTCCAAATTCCAAATTCACAGTGTAAAGCATTTTTTCTATGGCATAACCTCTCCCAAGATAACACAGGAAAAAGGTTCAGTGTCGCTCTAGCTGTCTTAATGAGAACCAATAAATAATGATCAAGATAATGTTCACCTCATGCATATACGTCTCCAACCACCATCTTTTATGAACGTGTTTAAATTTTGCTGGTGGGGATTGTGGGAAAGGCAGTTTAGACTATTTTAACGATGTCCTTACTACCTTTCTGGGATTTGAACGTGGTAGTTGCATTGCTGTCTATGTAGGGTCAGAAAGCTCTCAGATTTCATCAAAAATATCTTAATATGTGTGCTGAAGATAAACGAAGGTATTACGGGTTTGGAACGACATGAGGGTAGGTAATTAATGACAGAATTTTCATTTTGGGTGAACTATTCCTTTAAAGACCATTTGTGAAAATGCTATAAAATTCCCCAGCAATTATTTTATATGAACGCAGCACTTTTTACCAGTTTGTGTAAAGCCTGATGATCATGTTATCCAGCTTGATTTGAGAATGATCCACAAAGCATCTTGTGCTTCAGTGGAAGCATGAATAACTTTTGATTAGTGACCTAGAAATAGTGCAGAATCTTAAATTACTATTATGTAACTTTCCTTGTTTAAAACTGTCAGCTTATTTCCAGGTTTAAATGAAAAACATCCAGATTTTCAATGTGGTCTTGTAGACTTGTAGATAAAATAGTCTGCTAAACATAATTAAGCTTATTAAAATATCAAAATTACTCATTTTCAAATGCCGCAACCTATTAAACTAACCTGTAGTTTTTAGTATACCAGTGTAGGCTAGTAGGCTAGCTAGTGTCATATATATATATGACATAATTATCCAGTTAAAAAATGTGGTGTAGACATCCTTGTTAGCCCCGAACCCTTTCTCCTGCTCCTCGCTGCCTCATCTCACATTAAAGCAGAGACAGTGACACTGTCACAGACATACTATATAGGGCATTTAATTAGAGTAGAGCAGAGTGGACACACATAGCGAGCAATAATATGGATATCTAGCACACAGCAAAGAATTGCACTAAGAGCATAAAGCAATAATTAAACTAACCACTCCCTGTGTCGAGCAACCCTAGTTCAATAGATCTGGGGTGCATTTCCCAAAAGCATCATTAGACAACTATGATTGCAAGTTCCATTGACCTCTATTGGTAACAACAGAATGTATGACCATAGTTGCTTTTGGGAAATGCACCCCAGAAAGATTAAGTCAAACTACGTTTCTGATAGGTCTTTAATATGTGGTGCTCTACCATTTTAAGAGAAAGTGAGACACAAAAACATAAACATGAGTCTGAGAGATTAATGATATGATTAATCTGTTTATCCTAAATATAACTACAGTAAGTAAACAACTTGGCCTGTCAGAAGAAAAGACACATTGAGAATTGAGACATATTTTCATATTTTCATGTATACAGACTACCATTCGTACCGTTTGGGGTCAGTATGATTTAAGATTTAAGAAATCAAGTATTTTATTCAAAGATGCATTAAAGTGACTGTAAAGACTTATTACATTGTTACAATAAATATATATTTCAATTATGTTCTTTATATTAATTAAAGAATCCTGAAAAGAAATGTACCATGATTTGCACAAAACTATAAAGCAACACAACTGTTTTAAACATTTAGAAATTATTGTATTGTAATTTATTCTGAAATTATTGTAATATGCTGGTTTAGTGCTCAAGGAACATGTGACACTGACAACTAGAACATTCAGCTTTGCCATCACAGAAATAAATTATATTTTAATCTATATTAAAATGGTAATATTTCACAATATTACTGTTTTTACTGTATGTTTGATCAAATAAATGCAACCTTAGTGAGCATAAGAGACTTCTGTCAAAAATAGGGAAAAAATCTGGAAATTATTACTATTATTGCACCAATAGTAATGCCACTAATTCTGGTAAACACTCTTAAAAATAAAAGTGCTTCACAATGCCCTTGAAGAACCATTTTTTCAAAATGGTTCCCTAAAGAACCTTTAACATGTGAAGAAACCTTTCTGTTTCACAAAAGGTTCTTTGTGGCAAAAGAAGGTTCTTCCGATTATAAAAAGGTAAGAAAGAGATGGTTCTTTAAAGAACCTTTAACTGAATGGTTCTTCTATGGCATCGCTGTGAAGAACCTTTTAAGCACCTTTATTTTTAAGAGTGAAGGCCAAATGTTTTGTTTAACTATTATGGAGTTTCTTTGCACTTTCCATGTGAAAAATGGTGATCTATGAGTGTTCACCAGCTAAATACTGTGACTGGACAGCACTCATTAAGAGCTGTGCCTCCTTCTTGTATGAAAGAGCCACTTATACACACAAAACAAGATGCTCCTGATGCTGTTTAGATCACACGATTGTTAGGAAAGTAGATCACGTCTCTATTAATCTTTAAACATGATTGAGTAGCTTTTCACTTAAATAATCAGTGCTGACAGCAATGATTGAGCATGAAACACTATATGCATGATATTTTGGTATCATATAAATTATCTACCAATATTAGAAATATTTAAATATATTAATATAGGTTGATGTTGGACGTGATGGAATAATATATATTGTGAAAAGCGCTATGCAAATAAACATACAAAACTGCTGGTTCATTTGATATGATTTTTGAGTACAACTAGGTAGGTTGGGCTGCTGCCAGGCCTCTGGGGAGCTGCAGATTGGATATCTTTAAAGCTTTTTGGTTTGGTTCTGCCCAAACATATGCATGTATACGCACCAACGACAGCTAGACTCTGAAGAACAGCTGTTTTTGCAGAAGGCGAGAGAGAGCGCCTCCAGGGTTCTGCGTTCAGTGTGGCTCACTGCCTAGTAAAGGGCTAAACGTGGGGAACTAATGCACACAGCTCTTAAAGCTTGTAGGAGTAAAAATATATGAGATCCTGCACATCAAAGCACACAGCGTATATTGATGCCAGTAGTGAAGTAGAAGATGATGTAGGAGCTGAACTTGTAGCCTACAAGAGCAGACCTCTCTAAATTGAAAGGACTGTTTGATACCAACTGACTAATAAACCCCTCCGATTACTTAGTCACCAAGTCGCATTTATATATATTCTATATATATTCTGGCAATTACCTGAAACACATAACAAATACTGGCTGTATATATGTTTTTGAATGGTTATTCATATACTGCTCACTAACTTTATCCCATCTGGAGGTCATTTGAGGGCAAAAACCTGTTTCAGAAGCATTTTGTTTTTCACTGTTGCCATACACTATCGTTCAAAAGTTTGTGGTTAGTAAGATTTTTAATGCTTTTCGCTCACCAAATACAGTGATACTGTGATTTTATTCAATTTTAAAGTAACTTTTGAATGTGATTTATTCCTGTGATGGCAAAGCAGTCATTACTCCAGTCTTCAGTGTCACATGATCCTTCAGAAGAGTGATTTGGTGGTCAGGAAACATTTCTAATAATCATCAGTGGTGGTAACATTTGTGTCACTTTTGAAAATTAGATTTTTTTAAGGATTATTTGAAAAATAGAAAGTTCAAAAGAACAGTCTTTATTTAAAATATAAATCTTTTGTAAAATTATAATGTCTATTATGTCGATTTAATGTATCCTTACTAAATAAAAGCAATCTTTTTAGCAAAGAAAAGAGAAAAACTGAACTTTTGAATAAAAGTGTACATTTAATTTGATTTAATTTTATATTTAATTTAATTATTTTTTAACTTTATTTGTATAGGAAAATAAAGTATAGACAGGATAGTGGGGATGTGAGAGGGTAACAGGACAGGAACTTGACCACTCCTTAAAATGCAAAAAAAAATGCATTTTACTATACATTGTATCATGATTTATATACCCTATTATAAAGCCTTTCTCAATTATTTTACACTGTACAAATTATTATTTTTTTTAAAGTTGTAAATAAAAGATTATTGGAGTACATTTTAGAAATAAATACTGAATAAAATGTCTTTTTTTGGTCTTTATACTTCAAAATTTCATGTTTAATTCAATGTGTTACTTGCCGTTTCATTGTAATTATTTGTGAAATTTAATAGCAATTTCTAAGTGAAAAAGAAAATCCTACACCAGTTTTTCCAGATTAGAATTGCTAGAGATTTTTCACAAACATCTGTTTTAAAATTGTTTACCAACCGCTTTCTGTACAACTTTAATTTGTGCTGAATTTGGTGAATAATCTGTAGACCTCATTTGCATATTTTGTGCCCAAAAAGAACGACAATGACTTAATTTAAATACTCACAGTTTTAAACCAGTCCAGACAGTGCCCTGTTAAACCAGATTGCAGGCTGTTATTAAATATGACATTTTTTGCTCCAAAAATGGCGCAATGTTTATTATACCCATGAATGATTCTATGCAATGGCAGTTTGTGCTTGTGATGACCCCTGTGCCACTTTTTTGCATATGTGTGTGTACAGTTCCCCATGATAAGCGAGTTTGGAGATGACAGGAACTCCTACTGCTCCTTTGAGCCCAAAGACACAGCGCTGCTCCAGTCAGAGAATGGCAGTCTGCAACAGAGAGTCAACATCCTGACCCTCGAGGTGAGAGGACACACACCTAAATACACCCACCCACCCATCTCTTTCTGAACTGTATTTCATCTGATGTTCTGCTAATTTCAAACAACCGCTTGTTATATTATGACTTGGCTATATTGTGTTGTAAATCTGGATTACACGTCACAAAATGGAAAGATTAGAGAGGTAATACGATTAGTAGGGTAATGAAGGACAACTTCAGATGCCCAGTCATTCATGACAAAAGGCCATACATAATCTAGACCACGAACAAGCGTTCATTTTTGCTTGCCTGAAGCCCGCTGTCAATCGTCACTCCTGACTGACTGTGATGTAGAGTGTAAATGGGAAGATCATACTCTCTCTCTGCATCTCTCGGCTCATTGCCTGGCGAAGCGTCTCATTAATTAATGATGCTTGCTATGTGTTTCCATAGCCACAGAGCAGCCTTCCTTCCATCGAAGAGCCAGATTTCTCTTTGTCATCTGTTCTTCTCTCTCTCCCACACCTCCCTCACATTTGCTGACATTTGGTACTTTGTGTGTACGTTCCTTATTCTTCCCCTCCTCATTTGACTGTGGCCCTCCTCGATTTGTGTCTTCTTGTGTTTTATTCTTAAAAAATGTTTTCCAGCACCCAGAGCTTAGCAATCAAGAGCATTTGCTGAGATCTAATGCAGCGCTATAATTAGAGTGTTATAATTGTAGTAGATGCTTATGTGTGTCTGTATTAAAATGAAAGTGCAGGGAACAACATGAGTGCATCTGTTTGACTTTATTATTTTAATTTTTATATATCAGGCAGAACACCGAAATGTTTTTATTCTTTCTCACACCATGTCGGTTTCCAGAGACAAGCAATTTGTCAAAGAGTGAAACTTGTACGCAACATGAACAGTTGACAGAACAGTCACTTGCCCTTTCGACGCTCAACTTTTACATTTCGTTGATCTTGTAATGTCCATTTTTATTGCCTTGTAAACATAAATGTTTGGTTTTCTGTTGCTAATTTGTAACCAACTTTGATATCGGAAGTTTTATCGAAATTGCAATAATAATTGCACATTTTCTGTTTATAAAGAAAAATGTTTTATTAAAAAATAATTTTATATTCATTTCTTCTTCCTTTATTTTTCTCGTGTTATTTTTCATTCATGTATAAATATCTGAAAAATATTTATAGTAAATATAAAATAAATTGCTAAAAATAAAAATGGATCACTCAGAACTAATGGCTGACTAAGAAAAAAATTATTTTTTTCCTTAGTTGAGTCCTGTTATGTAATTATATTTTAAAGGGTCCAGAAACCTCTCGATTTGGCAATATTTCTCAACTGAAAGGAGTTAATAAAGTACTGAGATTTAGGTCATATGTCTAGAACCAGACAGCTATCAGCAGAACTGATATAATTGGCGTACTGGAAAGATATAAAATCCATAACGGTAATAAACAAGCCAGTAAAAAGAAATGTGACAAGAAATAGACTAACTCACAAAATGATATAAAAATATATTCAAATGTTTTTAATATATTTTTATATTACACCTGCCTAATGCCAAATGTTACAACAGCTTGTCATTATACAGCTCGAGGACATCCCAACTGTCATTGTAATTCAAGAGCGTATACACACTAATGTAAAATGTAAAAATGCAAAACATGTCTGTGATTTTTAAATATCATCAGGTGTGTATAAAGCCATTAAGCCAAAGGAAAGTCCTTGTAATGATAGGAGTGTTTGTGTTTTTTAGCTTCAGAAGAGCAAGGAGCGAGAGGAGCAGCTTGAAGATGTCATTCAAGCCTATGAGAAAATCCACATGGAGAAGTCCAGCCTTCAGCGAGACCTCGACAAGATGGTGCGAACTCTCCTAAAACATTCATTCCACCACATCCATGCTAAGTTTGGCTGCCGAGCGGATGGGCAGTTGTGATAATTAGCCTCTCCATGTGCTTCAGGCTTTAATACAACCAGGTGTCCATTTGATTAATCTTGTACTCTCGTACGTCCTAACGGGGCTGTGTGAATGTAATTGGGCTCTTATATTACCCAGCCAAGCCCTCATATAAGTGGATGATGCTGGATATCTGTAATCATATATGCGCATTTGCATCCTCAGTTTTAAACACGGGTCTCAAATGGCTTCGAATGGATTTGGCTGGGACAAAAAGATTGAGTTTTTGAAAATTGCATGATGCAAGCGTTTGAGCATCTGTGCGTTCGCCTCTCTGAAACACTCAGCGAGCTATCAGCTGTTACATCTACATGTTCTCATCTTTTATTTCTGACAAAAAATCCTCATGGACCCGAATGCCGAAAGAATCTGCATGGTGAAGTAATGGCCTCTTTGCCCTTGTATATCCTTTGATCAGTCCCTCATCGCCTGCCTTACTCTCTGTACTTTCTCTTGGTGTTTCATTTTTAATCTTTTATAATCTTTTACTTTTGTGCCCATCTCTTTCCCTTTCCCTCTCTTCTTGTCTCTTTCTTCTCTCGCTCTTTTCCGGGCTCAGACGTCTCTGGTGGAGAAACATGTTGAGCGGATCCACAGTTTAGAGGTGGCTCTGAGGCAGAGGGAGAGCTCACTACACAAACTCAACACACAGCTACACAATAAAGACATGCAGTATCTGCAACTACACAGCCCTGACTCACATAGTAAGTCTTGTTTTGTCTGTATGCATGCAGGTGTTCATTTATAAATCACTCAGTGGCCTAGAACCTGCAGATGTGTGCCTAAACTCACTACCGCTGACTCATTCACTACACAGTAATTGTCACATAGGTCACAATACAAGGACAGATTGAAACAAAAGTGAGTGCATTCAGACAATATTGCACTTTATATGATCTTACAGTTGTTTCACGTCCTGAATGACAAAAAAAAACCTATCTGAAGTCTGTTCAGACTGAGATGAAACAAACAAAAAAAAATAACGTATCACATATGGATATGATTTGGATTAGGTTTGTAAACATAAGTTTTCATTTTTTTTCTGTTCAGACTAATTAAAAAAACTAAATAGTTTAGAGTTGTACACATACTGTACATGTGAAATAAACATGTGGGACATGTCAGTAATTGATATATCCAATTGACAGTCCGGTGAGGTTAATATTCTCTTATTACATCATATACACTGCACAATAAACAGCGCACCACAAAGATGAAATTTGGCCCAAGGAAAAAAAAAATAGTCATATGATTTACAAAATCAACTCCAAATCAAACACACATCTCAGAGTGTATTCCCCAGATTAAAAAATAGCCTTTTTGTTTGGATGTAGCCTATACCAGTGTAAAGCATTTTGAATTGCCTTGCATAATATTATGCAAGGCAATTGTACTTTAACTTACTGTATACAGTATATATAAATATATAGTAAAATGGGAAATTTATAAGCAATGTTTAGGCTGGTAAGTTTTAACTGTAAACACCACAAGTGTAACAAGGTGGGAAAAATTTATATCCTGTATGAGCAAAGTCAGTAAGTTTTAGTCTAATAGCATTAACTAGTATGCTTGGGGAAAAAGAAAACTCTGCAACACCGAATGAGATATACACACACAAATATATATCAGGTTGTTTATTAGCATACAATCACGTTCATTATTTGTCATTTTATGTGCCTGCTTCATTTGTATTCCACTCCAACAACAGATTGTGTATTGGGGTCTTTGAAGTGTCCTTTTTCATTATATATATGCATCACATTTTGTATCTCGTTTTCAATCTAGCCTAATTTTGTTTTTTTCAAAGAGCACCTCTCCTATGAATGACTTCAAACAGGGCCAAGCGGCGGTCCTCTTGTCCTTTTGGTCCTCTTTGTTTTTCCCCTGATGACAGTGTTGTGTTGCGTCTCTCTCTCTCATTTTACACCATTTCCCACTTCCTTTCTCTCTTTCCTTTCACTGTCTCTGAGGCTCAGAAAAGACTCTCACCACAAAGAAACTATGTAACTCAATGGAAAGCATATTTGCGAGATGAAGGTCACACGTTTTCTCCTGTGACCCCTTTCCGGGATCTAAAATGTTTCAGTCAAATTCAAAGGCGCTCAAAAGGAGTCAAATAATCCCAGAGAACTCAAGCAAATTATGTATTTATGTAAATTACGCAACAGAGATGTTCTGTAACCCTGTCAGAAAATAATACAAGAATTATGTCAATTTTGTGTGTGCTCATGAATACAAATATTACATGCAAATATGAAAAAAAAGAATAAAAATCATTTCACTGCGGTTTTGGTGCGAGATGTAGGCGTGCAAGTGTGTGTGTTTTCAGCTTGCTTATTGCTGAACTGTCACAATAGCTGCTGGCTCAAGGACGGCTTTTCTATGAGCTGCTGAATCACCATGCCCACGCCGGGGGTGAGGAGCAGGACGCTCTGACAGGAAGGAGTTCAGTCTTGCATTCTCCATCTTCAAGCTACATGGAGTAAAGGACGTGTGTAGGGGGACTTTAGGTTGTATTTCAGCCCTGTTAACAATGTTGGCCCTGAGGCGCCCACCAAACCTCCTGTCCAGACATTTGTAATTTGGCATCTGTTCCCTTTGGCTGATGAAGGAGAGAATTTCCCATTACGTAACATAAAGAAACACAAATTAGATATTTGTTGGTCTGTTTTGAGTGACAGATGAGATCAGATCTGTTGCTTCAAAGACATGCTGTTGGACAATTTGTCTGCAGATTCATATGACAGGATGTTTAAGGAACACCAGAAATATATTGATATTCCTCTAACATTATAATCAATTTATTTCTGTCTCCACTTAAAACTCCACTTAAACTTTGAAAAGGTAGGGAGTTCATTGTAACCTTTCAATGTGCAATTCTGCTATCCTAGCTGGACGAACATTGATTTTTATTCATTGACGCAATGTTTTTGACTCGTCTGGTCATAATAACCGTCCTATATCTCTAGTGCTAGACTGCCCATTGACCCTACAGAGCTCCCGAAGTCTGGACACCCTTTCTGACCTCAAACTGCAGCGTCTGGAGGCGGAGCTAGAGGGGGCACGGCACGAGGCTCAGGGGGCGTGTCAGAGGGAGGAGGAGCTAAAAGCTGAATGTGAGAGGTTACGGGAAGAACTGAGAGAATTGCAAAGCAACCAGAGACAGAGGGTCAGTAACAAACACACACATGCTTGAAGACTCAAATAGGAACTACACAGTTGAAATGAATTTTTGCCTGAAGTCAGGTATCTTATAATCTGATATATACTGTAACTGACAGTTTTGTCTCAACTATTCTCTGATTCAGAGGAAAAAAATGTGATAAGTAATGAAACATTCAAAAATATTCTCACTTTGATGACATAGCAACTGAATTTTGCCTTTGAATCTTGTCTCAAATCCAGCAGTGACCTGACCTTTCTTGCCTTAGGCTTCAGATTTATGATTTCAAGCCATATATACTATGATTTAAAAGTTTAGGAGTCTGTAAGAGTTAGTTAGTTAGTTAGCTAGCTTGAAATTCATGTATTAAAATGAATTACATTTTTTAGCAAGGACGTGTTAAATTGCACAAAAATATTAAGGCAATTATTTTTCAATACAAATGTTTTTTGAGCACCAAATCAGAATTTAAGAATGATTTCTGAAGGATCATGTGACACTGAAGACTGAAGTAATGGCTGCTGAAAATTCAGCTTTGCCATCACAGGAATAAATTACTAAAATATATTAAAATAGTTATTTTAAATTGTCAATCATTTCATAATATTAGTGTCTCGACTGAATGTTTGGTCAAATAAATGCGGAATTGAGACCTTTCAAAAACATTTAAATTCTCCCAACTTTTAAAGTGTGTAGGTTCACATATAATTCTGATTGCATATAAGTAATATACAGAAAGTATGAAGCCTGATATGTTGCTCTTTTGCACAGGATGTGAGTTCCACATGTGGACAGTGTGATGTGGAGTGGATAAAGAAAGTTGGAGATGAACAGTAAGTGTCTGTTTCATTGATTTAAAGCTTACAGCTGTGCATATTAACTTTTAAGTCATTGCTTTTGTAAATCTATTTGATTAAATTTTGCTGCTATATTATTTGCTGCAGTTGCATGGCTAGTTTCCTTTGGATGGGTGGGCAATGGATATTTGCCAATAGAGGGCAGTATAGCTATTGGCAAGCCTCCAGATCACAGTCTCACAGAAGTGGTCTGAAGTATTCTCTCTCACAGAAGTGGTCTAAAGTGTTCTCTTAACTGACGCAAAAGAGAATACAGGTGAACTGAAAGTAACCTGTGTTGAAGTGAAATGGGGATTCTCTTTTGCACCTCACAGTTTCACACTCTACTCCCCCTCTGTTTGAATTGCTGGTTCTTGTAAAAGTCGTGATTTAACAGAAAAACCTTATATGCAGTTACTCAGACATTCTTATGCTGGTAGTTTTCGATGGTTTTGTCTTGTTTTCTGATGGAGGGGTTTATTGAGAAAAAATATTTTCATTTTCGTAGATACTGATTCTAAAGAAAAGGCAAAAGACAATCTGGGGTTTCAATAATCTCCACAATGTTCAGGTTTATTTTAACTGAAATTGATATCCCTAATTGTTTCACATACTGTATGTGGATGTTGTATTCTTTTTCTTAACTAAAAGTGCACAGATTATATAAATTTTAATGGCAACTTTTTTGTGTTAACCAGGTACAATTATTAACCAGTATGTTGACCTTGTCAACATCAGTGTGAAGTCTTGATTTTAAATCATCGTTGAGTCATCAAAACTTGAGAAGTTGTATCGATACATTGCATTTCCATCAGCTAAACATTTAGATGATAAATTATTGGATGGAAAACTAGCTAAATCCTTGCCGGTTAAATTGATTTAGCAGTCTCTGTGTGTAAAAAGGTGTCGTCCCAACTTGTCAACCATAAACCCGAGAGTGTCACCTTAGTGTAAATATAGATATTCTCAATTATTCTCAATAAACATATATATATTAAATTAATCTGAAATGAATCGCGATTAAACCCTTATTAAAACTTTAATTAAAACATTAAAGTTTTTAAATATACTTTTATATTGCAATAATTTCACATTCAATCTTCAAATTAATGTACAAACAACATAAAGACATAATTTTTTAATACTTGTTTAATGGCATACCAAGGATCCCCCCCCCCCAATATTTAACTATTGACTATAGCCATTCAACATTACAGTATAATTGAGAACTATCAATTTTAACATTTTTTAGACTTTAAAAAATAACTTCTTATATAAGTGAACTCATAACAATCTTCACATAAACCCATTATAATAAATGTCATATTTACCTGTGCCCTTCAGCAGAAATATACAGAAAATGAAATTGAAGTTATCAAACTCTAAATTCTAAATTAAATATAGGTGAATCCTTAAAGCAATAAAGTTAATTTTTCCTCTCTTTTTTTTCTTTGTCCTTTGATTAATAGACATCACAGCAGCTGGTTATCAGGTTATTTTGGCTATTATTTCTTTGGGATAGGGTTCTTATGCTGGAATGCAGTGTTTTCTTTCTCCAAACATAACGCTGCTCATTTAAACCAAAATGGGTAACACTTTACTTGAAGGGGTGTGCATAAGACTGACATGACACCTTCATACTCATGACATGACACATGTCATGAATATGAAAGAGGTTTTATGCATGTTTATGACAACTGTCATTAAGTGTCATTCGCTTAGTTATGTAATTTTTAATGCAAATATGACATTATTTGACCTAACCCTACCCCTACCCTTACCCCTAACCATAGCCCATAACAAAGACATCTCAAACAATGTCATCTTTGCATTAAAAATTACATAACTGAGCGAATGACACTTAATGACAGTTGTCATAAACATGCATAAAAACCCTTCATATTCATGACATGTGTCATGTCATGATTATGTATGTGTCATGTCATGATTATGAAGGTGTCATGTCAGTCTTATGCACACCCCTTCAAGTAAAGTGTAACCCCAAAATGTTCTATTTTGGTCTCATCCATCCACAAAACATTTCTCCAGTTTTCCTCTGGTTTGTCCACATGATCTTTAGCAAACTGCAGATGGGCAGCAATGTTCTTTTTGGAGAGCAGTGGCCTTCTTCTTGCGACTCTGCCATGGACACCATGGTTGTTCAGTGTTCTCCTGATGATGGACTCATAAACAATAACATTAGCCAATGTGAGAAAGGCCTTTAGTTGCTTAGAAGTTAGCCTGCAGTCCTTTGAAACCTAGTGGACTTTTACATGTCTTGCTTTTAGAGTGTTCTTTGTTGGTGGACCACTCCTGGGGAGGGAAACAGTGGTCTTGAATTTCCTCCATTTGTACACAATCTGTCTGATTGTGGATTAGTGGAGTCCAAAAAGATGTCTTTGAAACATTTTCTAGCCTGATTAGCAACACCAACTCTTTTTCTGAGGTCCTCAGAGATCTCATTTGTTTGTGTCATGATACACTTTCACAAACATGACCAAAATTTGATAGATCCCTGTTCTTTAAAGGGGTCATATGATGCGATTTAAATTTTTCCTTTCTCTTTGGAGTGTTACAAGCTCTTGGTGCATAAAGAAGATCTGTAAAGTTGCAAAGACTAAAGTCTCAAATCCAAAGAGATATTCTTTATAAAAGTTAAGGGTCAACCACGCCTACCTAAAACAGCTCATTCTAACAAGCCTAACACATGTCTACGTCACGATGTGGGAAGATTTGCATAACGACGGCCAAATGTTCACGCAAAGAAAGAAGGTGTAACTTTTGTTCTCGCTGTAGTATTGTTGCCGCCGCCGCCTCCATGTTGTGAAGATGCTGTCTGTATCGTTATGAAAGCAAAACTACTTTGTTTGGCCTTCCAAAAGAGGACGATATCCGCTTCCTCATGTCTAGAGCTGATCTGTGCTGGTCGCTGAGGAAATACATCAACTTCGCGCTGTGGATCGCCGGATTGGCTTTCACCGTGGACGAAGCAGAGTCCAGCCCGGGGTCGTCACATGTGGTTGCCGCAAGCCCGCTGGCCGCACCATTCTCTAGCCCGCCGGCTGTTCCTCACTCTAGCCCGCCGGCCTCTGCTCACTCAAGCCTGCCGTGTGTGATGCTGTGTTTCGTTGTGAAAGCGAAAAATACTTTGTTTGGCCTTCCATAAGAGGACATGACTAGAAATCAGAATACACAAAATAATGTTCTTTTTAGCAACATCAAATGACCCCTTTAAATAAAACAGGGCACACACTGACACCTGATGTCATCTCAATGATTAAAAACACCTCTGAACAGATGGACTCTAATTTCACCTTCAAATTAACAGTTAATCCTAGAGATTCACATACTTTTGCTGCTCACAGATATGTAATATTGGATCATTTTCCTGAATAAATATATGACAAAGTATATACTTTCATCTCATTTATTTGATTGGGTTCTCTTTGTCAACTTTCAGGACTTGCATGAAAATCTGATGATTTTTTTGGGTTATATTTATGCAGAAATATAAACAATTCTAAAGGGTTCACAAACTTTCAAGCAGCACTGTATATATACTTGAGTTTGCATGCAAAAAGGGCCTTCCTTGAGATGCTAACATTCAACATGTATCTGACTTTCTTTGAGTTTTTTGGTTTGATATCAGCATTCCTTAAAATGGCATTATTTACCCAAACGGTAACACTTTAGAATACTGTTCCGTCATTAATGAATAACTACACAACAAACAAACAAATGAGTAACGCAATATTAACACATTAGTAACTACTAGTAACTAACAGGAAACTGATTAATGAATTGGTAAGAAATAGTGCTTAGTCGAATATGGTAGTTCACTATTAGCTAATTAGTAACTATTGTTTTTTCATACCTCTCTTAGAACTACTAAGAACTACTGTGTACCGGTCCATAATTATTATGAATAATGCATAATGTACAATTAATTCTAAAGTGAAGGTCATGGTAACTGACTTGTTATGACTCAAATATTACCAAAGTCTTCATAAGGAATTACTGATTATTTGGATCAGTATTCTAAAATGAATAACATGATAACTCTCTTGTCATGACTAAAATAATTGTAAGTGATTGGGGTTTTTGCTAGTTTCTGGATAATAATTCCTTTTGCTGAATTTGGTAACACTTGAGTCATTACTAGTGGGTTATCATGATCTTCACTTTAGAATTAATTATACATTATGTATAATTCACATTAATTATGAACCTGTATACAGTAGTTCTCCAGGATATGAAAAAATAGTAGTTACTGATTAGCTAATAGTAAACTACCACTTTCAACTGAGCGCTATTACTTACTATTAATCAGAGTTTCTTGTTAATTAATAATAGTTACTAGAATGTTAATAGTGCATTAGTAATTTGTTCTTATGTAGTTATTTATAAACAATACATGAAACATACTGATTTGAAGGGTTGAGAAGTATGTTTTGCAATTATTTTTATAATAATGATCTCTGGCAAAAGGTACTTATTTGTTTCTGATTACATCGTATTTATTGTCTGCAGCATGGGCTGTGCTGATTAAGTTATTTGGCTGCTTTAGATTTAAGTTTTGCTGAAAAATAGACGATAAATTCATATAGCCAACATTTGTTTGCATAAAGAAGACGAATGTTATAGATACTAGTTTCAGCACAAAGGTCAGACATCGCTCAAACAACCCACATACCCTCCCACACTAGATCATCATCAATATTCAGATAAAAAGCACACAAATACACACACACACACACACACACACACACACACATCCTCCCACTCATTATTTATTTATTTTTTTTTTACATTTTCTTATTTTTGTGCTCAATAGTTCTGCAGATGCTCAACAAAATAATTTTTTCATACTTCAAGAGCTTTCATTTTACCTTTCAATGTATACACACAGGACAACATATATGTGTTTGTCTATAGACAGAAAGACAGACACACACACACACACACACACACACACACACAGGACATGCAGGCAACACTACTCTTGTTTCATTTCGTTTATGTTAATAGGAAGATGTTCACACATTCAGAGAATGTTTCAGTGAACAGTCCAAAAGGTGATGCATATAGGCCATTTCCTAAGATTCATATGGTGCATGCAAGTGTGTGTGTGTGTGTGTGTGTGTGTGTGTGTGTGTGTGTGTGTGTGTGTGTGTGAGAGCATGTGAGAAGGTGAGAAAAAAAAGTGTCACACATCATCTAAATATGCTGTAAATACCTCTTTGATAGATAGTGTCTATCAAATGAGGATGCCACTTGGACAGATGAGTTGTTGCTCATGCGTCGATAATGACGGAGGAAAAAGACAACTCATTACCACTGAATACCATGGCTGCTTGGGCCTGACTGTGGATGCTCAGCAGCCCAGAGGGCCAAATGAAGGACACAATGAGCACAATGGTAAGAATATCCAATGCTATGATTGTCCAGCAACAGAAGACAACTTAGCAGATAACTGGTGGAGCGAGCTGGTTAACACTGCTTGGCCTGTGGTTTATTTTGATCTGTGGTCTACGAATATAAGTTAAGGCTAAAGATCCAGTACTTTGTCTATATTGATGTTAGTTTGCTCTTTGGTATTAAGTATAGTCTCAATAAAAACCGATAGAAGGCAAGATTATGCAACTGTGCTGCTGGTTCTCTCTTACTCAGTTAATGCAGATTTCTTTGGCCCATATGGTAATTTGTGTGTGTGTGTGTGTGTGTGTGAGTGTGTGGGACTGAGAAAGTGGCAGAGAGCTAAGTCCTCCACTAACCGAGAGAGAAAATTGACGAGATGTGACCTTGCACCAGACCGCTTTGGTGGCGGATGACTCATTTAACTCATCTTATTAAAATGCAGTGAACTTCTTCTTGGCCCCTTCTTGTGTTCATGACCCTCTTCATGCTTTTTAAAAAATATATATTTAGTCATTATTGCCATTTGCAATTAATCAAAATGTGCTGTAAACAATACATATTGGTGACATCGCATAGTCAAAATGGTAGTTGACCTTAAAAGCTTTTGAATTTTTTTGTTTTTTTTGCAGGGAGCTGTTTTACATTTACTTTTTAAAATATTTTAAAAATGACACCCTTAATGGTGTTGACTTGAAATTAATTTAACAGCATGATGTTTATACTACTTATACTATATGTACTTATCTGTGGTTGTCAAATTCATGCGAATGTACACATGTTAAAAAAGTGATCGGTCACACTTGCACTACTGAAGTGTAAAACTGAAATGTCTCTCCTGATATATCTAACACCATCTCAAAAACTATGAGTCTTTTTAAAATAAAGCACTGAAGGTTTTTGTGAATTTGGTCTATGTATAATCAGATAAAGGCCATCTGATGACATAGTTTCTGTTTCTTTGCATCTAAGTTAACTGGAATTTTTTACCATAAAACTTACTTTTTGATGGTTATCATAAATGTGTCAGACTTATTTGATTGTTGTGCATTTGAATTATGTAACTTTTGAGCAAGCTAGATAAAACCAAGACACAATCTGATCAATTTTTTTGTTAAAAATTAATGGCGTATCAATGGAAGGAAGGTTGTGAGTTAAGTGAGAGATAATGCACTGTCATTTAGTCATTATTGCAATATAAATCACACATGCTTTATTTTATTATTGATGATGAAAGTCTGATTGCTTAATACATGACCAGCTACCATATACATAAATAAATACATGGATGTTAAAATTGATTACATGTTAAAGTTACTGTATTATGCGTGAAGAAAGAGACAGCAGAGTGCTGCGAAAGACTTGCAGAGCAATGTAGGAAATCACTTGCCAATTTTTGTGATGACTGAGGCTTTTTAGAAATTCAGTTGCCATGGTGAGTGACTGCAGAGTCAGATGATTTGAAACTACACTGTTTTCTTCTCTGTGCCAGTAATGCTTTATGTTCTCACTGGTGGAGCGACTCATATCGCAGTTAAATAGTGTTACCAACTGTGTCATAAACATAATTGTCAACCATTGTTACAGTACGTGCTTCTTATTATTGCTTTTAAATGTCACAGTTAAGTACTAAGGAAATAGTGCTGATATTTTTATTGTCAATGTCAGTTATACAGTAATGTGTTACTGCTGTATAGATGAAGTGCAGTTCCATCTTAGCTGATTAGCAGGTGGTAATAGCATGATGTTAATTACACCTGGCACCTAGTTTTGTGAATCTGTGCGCCAACATAGATTTTTAAATATAAATTTTACATAGAAAGAATGAAAGGGTGATGACAGATACTTAATTTAAGTACTCAAGATGCAAAGCTATTGGTTAAACTTGACTACAGGTGGTTATGAGACTAAAACGGTTTAGTTAATTCCCTCTGGCTCTCTATTTCTCACTCCCTTCTCATTCTCTCTCTTTCTCTTGCTCTCTCTACAGAGTAAATCTGGCTTTGGCCTATACTGAACTAACTGAGGAGTTGGGCAAGCTACAGGCTCTGACCTCGAAACAGACAGAGATATTGCGAAAAGCCTCACAGGAGCCGGCAAGCCCAGGTAGGAGGACAAGGATTTCGATATGTCATCAATATTATACATTCAGTTAGAGACGTATATATTTGAACAACTATAATTACACTTTACAGAGTCATGAACATACACTATATATCTAAAAGTATGTAGACATCATCTAATTACCCGTTTGTATAGTCGAAAGAGCTCAGTGACTTTATTTAATGTGGCTTTGTCACAGGATTCAACCAGTGAAATGGTTTACAAATATATACGTGTCTGTGTGTGCATTTATATACTGTATACCTATAAATATGCACAGTACACACATTAGAGAGTTCTGTAGAACTGGCTTAATTAGCCCATTTCAAATGGCTGGAAAAAGGAAATCACTATTTAATTTCATGAAATAGTTTATTACTTTATATTCTAATGACCCACGACACTCAATGAAGTCCTTTGGGATGAGTTGGAACATCCACTGCCAACGCCTGACCTTACTGATGCTCATACTTTTTGCCATGTACAGGGTAATGAAGACCTGGTTTAGGTAATGATCATATTTTCATACTTTAATAAACCTCTTTTGTAATTCAGCCAATTTGTCAAACTCATACAAATTCAGCAAAGTAGGTGGGTAAACAGGCACTTTTTTTTAGCACTGCATGCTTGTTTGCTGTCTGGTTAAATTCCACAAGGAATGTTTTTGCTGACATGTTCTGATCGCCTCTCATGTCGAGTGCCTCTTATGAGTTTGAGAACATAAACAACTCCCCCCTTATCTTTTTAGCACCTCTGCTCTCAACCACACAACCCATTTGATATAGGAAACCAGACCAAAAAGCAGAAGCGGAGATGGAGGGGGGAAAAAACCCTACTGATTCATAGATAGAAGGACTGATTTCTCTAAATAGCTGATTGCAATCTCACGATTGCAGGAAGCTCAGTGTATGCACGTTAGACTTATTATTGAGAGACAGATGCATCTTCTGTACAGGATCTTGTGTGCCCGTTGCTAGTCAGAAAGTGGTGTAGCAGTAGCCTACCACAGGTGCTGGGGTGAATGCACAGGAAAACAATACGAAAATATCTCAAAGAGGAAATGTGAGGGGAAAGAGGAAGTCATTACAGACATCTATCTGTCCATTAGGGACTGTGCTGTTTACACAGTTTTTAAAGATATCCTTCCGGTAATAAAATGAACCATGCTACATTTAATGAAATAAAATATTCAGATATATTATATATGAATTTAGCCATATAAATTTAACAGAAACTACATGTCTTTACCCAATGGCCATGTCTTACGTAGAGCATATTCACTGTCTTACGCTTTTATGACTAACTCATAACTTGCGTGTGATATTGTGCAAATGTAAGTTGTAATATGTTGTGTCTACTGTATCAATGCATGTTAATATCTTGTGGTGGCATGTTTTTAATCAACAGTATTTAAAATTAAATTGTTTAAATATCGTCATGATGCTTTTTTCATCTTGTCTTTGTTACTGTTGATGAAAAAAATTATTGTTAAATTTACGATGTACGGAGCCCCATAAATATATTTATTGACTTTGTTAATTCTAATTCTTACTTCCTGGCCTCGATTTAAATAAAACCATTTAAATACAATGAAAATTCGAGCTTTGTAAAAGCAAGGCTTCATAATGATGAAACAGATTTTTCTTCCATGTTGTGACATACATCCAAGTCTAACAGATTGATTATAAAGAAAAATGTGTATTTATTGGTTGCTGGTTGGATTTTGAGATGTGGAGGAGGCAAAAATGGCAGGTAGATGAATGTGAGCTTGCAGGGGCAGAGTTTAAGTGCACTAAATGAGGAAAAAGCCCAACATACATCACCATAGAGAAGTCTGTCCTCTGACCAGCGGTTTGAGTTATGATATATGATTAATATATGAGGCTGACTTTAAAGAGCGATATCATCAGTAATTTTGTTGACAAGATTAACACTGATCTCAAGTATTTATTCAGTGTGTTTATTTAAACATGTATCTTGTCTAATATTAATTCTGCTGATTTTTTTCCACTTTTTAAATGTCCTGTGTTTATTTTCTAGTGCAGCGCCACTCTCCTGTCCCTCACCAGAGGCATTCTCCTGTTCCGCAGCGCCATTCCCCAATCCAACAGCGCCATTCTCCCATACAACAGCGCCATTCGCCTGTTCCCCAGCGGCGCTCGCCAGTGCTGCAGCGTCTCTCTCCAGACATGCATCGTCGCTCGCCTCTGCCTGAGCTCAGCGACGGCCCCGCATCCTATTCCTGCAGGCCCACTTCCCACCACTTGAGGGCCAGTTTCCAAGGAAGACGCAGTTACTCTGAAGTAGCCGATCCATCAGCTTATCAACGGCCCCCACGGTTCACTCTGGACCCAGTGTCCACTTTGCCAAAACCTCGACCATATGTTGACAGCTACCACAAGCAGCAGCAGCAACAGCAGCAGCAACACGGAGGAAGCCAGCACATGTTAGTTCAAAGACAGGGCTCTCAGTCCGGGGTTGGAGGTGATGGGGGTTTGGCTGAATCTCCACGGCTGTCCAGGGAGCTGTCTTTCCACCACTCGGATGTGTCCCACTTGCATTTTGAGCCTCAGCCCAGCCCAGCACCTCTGCATTCATCCCCACAGCCTCCACAGTCCTCAGAGGATGAGGAGGAGTGGTCCTGCCCTCATCCCATCAGTCCTCCGCGAACACTGGGGGTGTCGAGCCCCTCATCAAGCTCCAGAGGCCCTGCCTCTTGTTCCGCTTTCCCCATTCCTTCCCGTCCCAACACCCTTAGCTGTCACCCACCTGGATACCTGCACGCAGAGCATGCCCAGTCTTGGCCATCCATCAATGTGAGTAGAAAATCACATTCAGTGGCCAGAATAACCTACCTAGGCTTATTGGAAATGTGCCTGTGATTACATTTCTGTGAAATGTTACATTGCTTCTAGCTCATTTCATGACACTTTCAAAGTGAAATGTATAGTAAGTGGCGCTAAAAGCATGTTCAGTTTTATCCAAAACAGATTAACATAAATCTGACTCGTACCCCAAGCACGCCATATTGAAAGTGCAATGCTGTACCTGGTGAGCTACCAAGCAAGTTTACTACATCAAAAAAGCCATGTGATGCTAATGTCAAAATGTATCAGTTTTACAAACAATGCATTATTGTAAAAGTGTTTTGAGGTCATAATATAATGTTGTGCATAGAACAAAATTCTAGATAATAAAGACAAAAAAGTATTTATAAATTGAAAATCTTACCCTGTAATCATAAAAAAGAAAAGGAGTAAAAGTTGTTTGTTTTACCACCACTAGTGTTCATTTGAGCTAGAAAATGCGGTGAACTGTGTAAATAGATATGTTTTTGGCATTTTGCAAAAATGTAGGTAGAGGCCCATTTTTCCAATGAACCTATGATGAGAGTATACAGTGACAAAGGTGAAGTGTGTAATTTCTACACCATTTGTGTCACCATACGGAAATAAAAAGTAATTTTTTCAGACTGAATTCCTCAAACTTGTGCAGCATTCAGAATTAAATTGAGAATGTTTAAATTGAGAAAGTCATGACAAAGCCATGTGTTCATATTTAAAAGGCTTGAAGTTTGAAATGTCACCTAAATTTGTTTCCTAATTCACATATACTTTTTTGTATTTAATATAAATTTGTAGACCAGGGAGGATTAACAATTAATTAATTTAAAATCCACAGCCTGTATTCCCAATTCAACTTCCTGTAGAGTTTGGCCAATTACATTTAAATAAGAACTTATGGAATGAAAGGGAGATTTCTAATGCACAACCGTGGTCTGCTATTGGCTGTACAAACAGATAACCCCATCCCCAAACTCACCCCATTGGTTGAGCCACCATTGCTGTGTCTGGCTGCTCTAACAAACACAGAAATATTTTGAAAGCACCATGGAGACAGTGTTTACAGAGGAATCCATATTCATATGACTTACTTATAGCTGTCTGTGCCAAACAAGCTAGAAAATGAAAAGAGTTTAAACTCAGTAAAATACACATTTCACATTTATTGTATCTTTTAGATTTTAAGATGTGGATTTTAAATATTATGGCTTTCAAACATATCACTGTGCCCTTTGCAGCTGTGGATGGAGACAGAGGAGGAGGGTGACGTCAGGAGCTGCCCGCTGTGCCAGCTAATCTTCCCTATTGGTTACCCTGATGATGCCTTGATCAAGCACATTGACTCGCACCTGGAGAACAGCAAGATCTGACACCCACAGCCACGCCATGCCCATGACCTTCTGTTGTTCCACAGTTACATTCATTCTTTGCTCCTGGTATTTTTAGCCGGGTGCTTTCAGGCAGAATGTAGGTGATGCACCTGTGGCCAGTCTCCCAATTTGATAAGTGAAACGGAGATCTGTGATTACCTGCAAAACTCAAATGTGTCATGAATAGCTTATATATCTATATATCGCTTCTTTTCAACAAAAATGTATTGAAAAATGGTAACTTTTTATTTTAAACACTTGTTTATCAACAATTATACACACACTAAACCAAACTGACTGAGCATATTGCAATATTAAGGCTCTCATTTCAGCTACAGTTCAACTACAGTTCCCAAGATTATTTGCATTATTTACACTTTAATGTGGTCACAGAATGTGCTTTGTGGCCATTTTTGGAGAACTGGGTAGTTATGAGGGTGCTATACAGGATGAGTTTGAGGGAATATTAGACATAATGGCCAATGGTTGCATTATTTGAATTTCAGCACTTTATATAAGCCCTTAATATCCAGTTTACCTTTATCAATATTACTAACACTGAGGTAAAAAATTTAATATTTCTATAACCTTATAGAAATCATTTATTTTTTAATACTCCAGGGTCTTGAATACCCTTAAATATATCTTAGTTTGGCAGGACTTCCCTTTAACAAAACTGAATTCTTTGTAATTATCTGTAAATTCACAATCGCATCTTTTTTTTTTTTTTTTGTCTTCCGGGGTGTTTGGCTGTACAAAGATTTTTTCTTAAAAATATTCTTAAAGAATTTCCTCTCATAATGTACATAATGATTGCAGCTCTGTGCACACAGTTTAGCCAACCACTGACAAAGCATCAGTTACTGTTGTTTCTCAAGACAGTAATACTGTGATTTCCATAGTACACTTAGACAGCGGAATGTTTTTGATGTAATTACTTAAGAAAAATTGCTTTGACAAAATATATCTGTTCGTCTGATCACATCACAGAGCGCAATCTGTTTTATCAGTTCAAACTTTTTTAATGTACTGTAAATGTATATCTGTATTTAAAGCCAATTATATGTATTAACCTATATAATATAGATATGCATTTTTCAAGCTTGGATAAGAGCAAATGGAAAACTACTGGAACTGGTAATTCAATGTTTTGTATTACTGTGATCCAAATGATACAGCACCAATTTGAGTGTGTTTAATTAGTGTTTAATTATCTTACTATTCCCTATTTTTCCAGGTGTACCTTATACTATGTTATAAAGTCTTCTTTCTCGCTACTTTCCCTGATTCTGCAGACTTTGTAAAAATGAGGGCACTGGATCTGCTACTAACCCAAATACAGAGGAACTAAAATGGGAAAGTAGCACAAAAAAGTCATCACTGGTGCACATGTGCAAAATTACGAAGCCAAATATAGCGAAGTGCAAAATAAGAAGCTATATGCTGTCTGTCAAATAACTGGGTGGAGGTTTCATTCAATTGGTCATCTAATTTGATGTGGTAATTGCTAATATTCTGGAAAATACCATTCCAGATGTTGTAAATATACGAATCTATGATGAAAATAAACGTCTATGATGTCACCATTCCAAATACCATGAAATACAAGTGTGGATAACTGAAATGCCATCAATGCAACCAAAGACACAGTCTGCTTGTTTTTTTTAAAATTTCTTTTCACACATGACCAAGCACCACTTAAGAATATTACCCTGAAATATGGTGCGACTGAAACATGTGGAAGAACATTTTCGATGAATAGTGTGCAGACGTGGAAAGATGCAGCTAAAGTGTAAAGACAAAAGACATTCTGCATAATCACCCACAAGTTTCCATATACAGTATTCATATATATATTATATCTTGTCTTGCACCCTTGTCCATGAACATGCAGAGTAGAAGCAAAGTAAAACTTCAGCCACTATTCACAAAGATTCGCTCAGGAGTTGTTTACAGTAAAGAGCTATTGCTGTTACCTTGCTCCTCAAGACAGTGTTTTTTTTTCTCATGCAAAGGCAAATTAGCAAACGGAATTCTTTTCTGGATGCTCAAAGTCTCTCTTTTGCCCTGTAGTTTGGTGTGTGATTTCTTTGTGATATAACTCAGGGGATAAAGCTTTGTGAATATGGCTCCTTGACCATACACAACTAACCTCCACTGGGACAATATGAGAATTCGCCAAATCTATTGAAGAGCCAAGAGGACGCTAATGGGGAAGAGAGATTTTGTCATACCAACAAGGTATACTTTAAAGAAAGAAAAAAAATGAATGCATATTGTGTCAAAAAATGTTCTGTAAATATTATGAAATAAACTGGAACATGCTCTAATTTGGTGTACATTTGTCTGATTTGGTGAGTATTGCTAAAATTATCCACAAATTATGCTTTTCACTCAAAATCTGAGGTGCATAAGCACAGATCAATGAGGCTTTCGATCATTAAGCACCAAGAAGAAATAGAAAATGTGCTAAATGGAAAAATAAGTTGATAAAAAGACTGAAAGCAGTTATTTTAGATAGCAAAAATATTTCACAATATTACTGCTTTTGCTGTATTTTGGATCAAATAATTGCAGGCTTGGTGAGCAGAAGTCTAATTAAAGCAGAAACTATTTAAAAAAACACTAAAAATCTTACTGTTCAAAAAATGTTGACTGGTAGTGTACAGTATATGCATGGACATTTTGATTTCTTTTTTTTTTTTATTCGACCAAAAGTATGTTTTATGATGATCTCATAATAGATAACTTGGAAAGAGTCTCTCTCTCTCTCTATCTCTCTCTCTCTCTCTCTCTCTCTCTCTCTCTCTCTCTTTAATTCATTCAACTGATATCAACAGAGTTGGTTTTGTCAAAGTGCTGTTTTAAAACTCTCATCTGTTTTCCCCTAATTCCCCCACCCCACTTCCGACCCTTTGTGTCATTTCTCTGTCACATGCATACATGCTCAGAGAGAGATGCACTTCTCTCAAGTTCACAGGATGGCCCGCCCATCCGCTCAAAACCACATGCTCTCCGTGAAGAGCTCAGTACTCTCTCTTTCTCTCTTTCTTTCTCCTTTTCTCTTTTTTTTCTCTCTCTCTCTCTTTCCTTTTCTTTCTTGACAGACTCACACAAACAAACACATCACACAGGCAAATGCCTCCACCTCAAACAAATGTAGGTTTTAGGGGGACTAATTAAAATTTTATCACAAAGGGAAATCAAAGCCAAGTTGATTTATGAATCATAATTAATTTCAAACATTACTATAAGTACAAGCTCTATTTTTTTTCATTGCTTTGGGGAAGTTAATAAGATTGACTTAAATCGGGTTTTTTTTTTTACCAATATTTATGCCTAAATCTGTAATATTTAACTGTTGTGAACAGGGGAAAAAATATATCTAAAATTTCCACACACAAAAAAAAGCATTCAAAGCCGTTTTTCACCTTTTGTCTTACGTTCATGGGAAAAAAACATAGAAACAACTTGATAGACTATGATAAGAGTTCAGCGTTAGTGGTAAACACAAATATCTCTTTTCTGAAGTGTTGCTGCTGTCATCTTCACACTTTTCTTAAGGCCTTACACTAAATAACGAAAGTTCTCAAAAGTGAACAATTGGATAAATTCTGAAACGTTTTGTGAAGGCGGCTTGGCGTATACATGCATTAGTATCACCATGGATTTAAAAAAAAATCAACGTATGCACACACTTCTCATGGCCAAAAATATGTGGAATCCAAAAACCACATCAATAGGTGCTTGTTGAATATTTAATTCTAAATCCATTGGCGTTAATAGTGAGTTGGTCCTACCTTTGCTGCTGTATCTGGGAAGACTTTCCACTAGATGTTGGAGCGGCTGAGGTGATTTGCCGCTTTTCAAGCACAAAAGTAGCAATGGTATCAAAAGGTCCTTGAATCACAGTCAGCATCTAAATTCATCCCAATTCATTCAGTGGTGTTCATGTTTGGGCTTTTTGCTGAACAGTCACTTTCTTTCACACCGGTAAATAATATCTTTATGGTCGTCACTTCTATGCCCAGGCATATTGTCATACTGGAACAGGAAAGGTACACAAAAATGTGCATGCTGCATGATTGATTATATGCACCTGCTAGTAATGGGGCCAGGTGAAATAGCCAAACCAGTTAATTAAAAGGTGGTGTGTTTTGTTACTCTTTTATAACACTTATTATTTGAAAAATGAGACAAAAAATAAGTATGAATTTTACATCTGAAGATGAAACCATTATATCTTCGATGTATGAATCCATTTGCTTGCTTGATAATCTAATCCTATATCCTTTTTAAAGAAATCTAAATGGTACATCTTTAAACCTTATTTACCCCTAAATGCTACATATCAATAACTTAAATGTACATATTAGTACTTTAAAAGTACATATTAGTACCTAAAGTGCTAGTACTAGCTTTTGAAAGTATACCACCCCAGTGACAGTTTTGTACCTTTTTTTCTGATTGTGTACTGTTTCATCTCAGGACATCACTCTCAGAAAAAAAGGCACAAAAGCTGTCACTGGGGTGGCACCTTATCAAAAGGTACTGTACATACACTCTAGGTATAAATGTGCACCTACAAGTTACTAAAATGGGCTGAATAAGTTACAAAGGTGTACCTTTTGAAAGAGTACCACCCCAGTGCCAACTTTCTGAGAGTGTTCAAAAAGCTTTGTGAGATCTTTTTTTTAAAGCAAACATTCAATGCTACTTACACTATACAGTAGACCTAAAAATAAAAGCACATTTGAAAATGCATAACAAGAACTATAAAATATGTTGCATGTTTTGTTTTGCCGTTGAGCTTTGGCCTGCCAACCATGTTCAAAAATAAACTGACTGCATGCTATCTAACAATATCTCTATGCATCTATCCGTTTCCTTAATATCATGCAGTTTAACTAGCCAAGCAGTTTAAGTTAGCAACATACAACATCTCACGCTTAATCCAATTTGCTTCTGTAACCCTGTGTATCCCATATTTTCCACTAGATGGCCAGGAAGATCACAAGAACAAGCTCTTTCACCATCCATATGCAACACACAACATTCAGTGCAGATAATGAGTAACGCTTTACTCCAAGGAGTATAGATAGATAGATAGATAGATAGATAGATAGATAGATAGATAGATAGATAGAAGTTGTCATAATGGAACCTGCCATCAAACAGTTCACTACAGCCTTTTTAAGCATTTATGAACAACAAAACAATAATTGAAACACCAAAAAATGTAAATGGTACCATAAAAAGTCAAGCATTATACTGGGCCAACAAATACTGTATTTAATATATTGTTCACAAAACATATGTGACTTGTCCCAACCAGGTTCCTTCACAAACACACATGGCCCACCGAGAAATAACAATACATTGGATTTCCCCTGTAAGTGCCCATTTTTCTTGCATGTAAAAAAAACCAAATGAGTTTGATAGTACACTCCAGGATCAAACAGAGCAGGGATCAAACAGCAGGGAGCAGAAGTGAATCTGTTTGTGCAATGAGCCAATCAGAGCAGAGCGAGACATCGACGTGGAGCATGAGGCTGTGACCTGCGTTTGAACTGCTGACCTATGTAACTCACTCCTATTGATGACGGGACACGCACTACCACACTTACAACATAACGCTTCAGCAAGCACAGCGAGGCCCTGGGCGAGAGGGACGGAGAGGGGCAAGAGGGGGAAAATGGGAAAGGAAAGGATGTAAGAGTTTTTTGTAGTGTTTTACACTGAAATGAAGCAGAGTCACTCTTCTCTGCATCTCTTGCCTGGCGACAGGGAAATGAGACCTGTGTGGTAAGAAATTTCAACAAAAAGTATAAAGGAAAAGATCATGTGTAGCGTTGATGACGAGTCATCTGTTATTGATAAGTGAGTCGATTATTTTCAGGATCAGTTATTCATCCATGACCGATGTTCCCTTGACCTCAATTACACAACTAAACACAACAGTGGCAAGAGAGGTGTTTAAAGATTTTTGGCCATTTCCTGGTTTGCTCAAAATAAATGACAAAATATTCTGTGTACAGCTTGTACTACATTTAATATGTTATGCAGTGCACTGGAAAAAAGTGATTTTGTTTTCCAAAATACCTGACATTATTTTGCTTCTCAAGTAAATGGTTCTTGATTTAGGAATATTGAGATATTTGTACTGGAAAACAAGACAGAAACATTGAATAAGAAAATCACTTTCGGCACATATCATGCCGGAAATGTTGCACAATGCACTTGTATGAAAGAAACCTCCTCATGCTCAAACCTTTGCCCAGGTGACCCCATTTTTCTGCTAACAATATGACCTCATCAAAGACATTTTATATTGCAGTACGCATGCCTCTTATTTGCAATATCCACAAATCACACAACAAGAAACAAGCATCCTATCACATTAACATGTCAGCTGCACAATTTCTAAATCTAAATCGTTGGTTTCTGAAGTAGATTCGAGGTCTGGTCCATAGATGAAATCAATATCTGTGGAAACCATAGTGTTTTCATTAGGCTTTGTGGTGACACCTCGCAAGCTCTGTGGTTTTTGCGCAAACCCCCTGTCCTTGTTGGTGACACTAGTATGCATAGAGTTAGAGTTAGTGTGACCATGAGTTTGTTTCCACTAACAGGAAGAGTGACTCACAGTCCCCAGTCATGGCTGCAAAAAACAGTATTGCAAACTGAATTATTACATATTTCTCTCTCATTTTTTTCTCTTATTTTAAAAACTTTTAGCAATCAGCCAGATGTTTTTGTAAGTTGGCTTCATTTGCTCTTGTGACTGGCATCGCGGCGATATCTGTCAGGATGCATTTCAGCTCAGTTTTTGGCTGGCATGTAGCGCAACTTAGCAGCGCTCATCATTAGCTGTTGCCGCATGGCAAACGGGTGGCGCAGACCTTTTTTCCATGCGGCAGTATCACAGCTCCGATCTGTCACCCTTTGCTCACCTTAATGTGTGAAAGTAAGACGTGTTGCGCCTATTAGCACTTTCTGGCAGGCTGGCATGCTGATCTGTCCTCCCTGGGGAGCCAGGCAATATGGTGGCCCGCACTCTGGGCCTGCCAGACAGGGTGCCCACTGTCACTCCACATCAGCTTGACATTAACTTCCCAGTCAGGCAGATATAATCACACACACACACACACACACAAACAAACAAACATAAAAATGGGATTAAGTCCTACAAACAATTTCAATACAACAAAAGTCTTAGGTTCTAGGGATATATAAATGGCATTACATTTGTTTCTTTTACATTTCTATGAAACGCTCATGCATTATGTTACATAACTATATACTAACT